GAGGGCAGGAACCCACGGGGGGAGGCCAGCTGGGAGCTGCGCAGCAGTGGTCTTGAAGCAAAAAACAAAACAAATATGAGGCCTTTATTAAGTATGGATGTTAATAATGCAGTCAGAGCACCAGGGAGTGCTCCCATCTGAAACTGGATTTCTTTCTGTGTGCTCTGCACCCCCAGTGCGGCTCTGCTCTGGACTGGTCCTCACTGGGCTAGGGGCGAGAGGAGAGCGAGGGAGGAGGGGCCCGCAGGAGGCTGGGGCTGGGCGATGGTGAAGTGAAGCAGATAGATAGCGGCACATGTGCTGAAACCGCTGGCAGCTGCTAGTGTGTTTAGAGTAGCAGTCTGTAGGCTCCAGAGTTAACGTCAGGCTGAAAGGGAGAGCAACTTGCCTCTCAGCACTGCTTCTTCAGACCGTGTGATGGAGGGGAGGCCGAGGTGTTTTGGGAAGGTTTGGAAGCCACAGAAGAGCAACTGCAGAGGGACATGGCCTCCTTGCTCTCCCAGGGCCTTGGGGATCTCGCTGACCAACCATCCCTCTGTCTGTCTCCAAACGTGCTGACAACGAACACTGCCCAGTTCAGTTTTCCTGGACAGAGGGGTAAGAGTCTCTGACATTGGCTCCAGCAAGTTTCATGGAAATAACTAACCAGCTGGAGAAGAGATGTGTGCAGCACTCCTGTCCCAGAGGGGCTGTGGCGGGGGCTCAACACGTGCCCCAGGATCCCGGGGTCCTGGCGCCAGCCCCTTCCCCTTGTGGGGCTCTCTCCTTCCCAGCTTCCAGCAGGTGGTAGCACACTGCCAGCTTCGCCAGCCGTGTCCCTAGCCCTGCCAGCGCCCCCAGCCCAGCCAGCGTCCCCAGCCCTGCCAGTGTCCCCAGCCAGGCATCGCTTGCTGGTGGTGCCATGCTCAGGCCTTGCCAGGCACCGCACGCCTCCAGCAGCCTCCAGCCCAGCACGAGGGACCCCTGTCCATCCTGCCCAGCCCTTGCCCAGTTCCCTGCCACGCTGCCTGGGGAGGCGGCTCTGGAGCCCGGAGAGCTGTCCCCTCCTGGCATCCCCTGCTGCCCCGATCCATAGAGAGCCCTGGATGAGGGGAAGGCAGGCGAAGAAAGGCACCCATCCCAGCTCCACGCCCCTGGGTGCTGAGTGAGGGTCCAGAGCCTGTTTTGGAGGCCCTGGAAACCTTGTTTTCTGCTGGCCCTGTGACTGTTTGTTCTCTGCCCGTTTCTGGTCTGAGTCCAGCAGCTCTTGCCACACACAGTGGCTGTGGCAGCTCAGTGCCACAGGTGAGCACTGGTCTCTGGCAGCACCATGCTGGCAGCAGGGCTGGCTGCAGCCCCTGCCTGCGCTGCCAGGGAGGGATGCCTCTGACACAGCCCATGCTCCCGGGGTACCGGAGATGCAAGCACCCGTGCCAGCTCCTGCCGTGAGCGCTGGGTCTATCCTGCTGTCCCTTCGCCGGGAACTGGGGCATTCGGGACCTCAGCATCTCTGCCCGACCACTGCAGCTCGTCTTCTGCCTCAAACCTGGAAGCCCTGCCTTGAGCTGAGCCCAGACAAGCTCAGTGCAGGCAGCAGGCAGCTCTGAGCACCCTGCTCCCCTCCATGCCCCAGAGACGGCTGGTCCCAAGCCGAGCGGGCAGGGCTGGCCCAGCTCCAGCGTTCTTTGTTATCTCAAGGGACCTCAACCATTTCTGCACCTTGTTTACCCACTGTTGTGCAGGGTGGAGGAAAGGCAAACACCAGCCTTTTGTTCACCAGCTTCCCTTTCCCATGAGCCTCATCCTCCTCTCCAGGGCTCCATCTGCCCTCTTCCCCACCACAGGACCCAGTACTCAGCACCCTGCAGTGCAGAGCCCAGGGTCCAGTCAGGACACCACCATCCCCCTTCCCCACCGCTGCCCCCGAGACATCCCTGCCCAGATCCCTCCAGGCCCTGGCTGGTTCCTGCTCCTCACATGCCCCATTTGGAGGGTCCCAGCAGCTTTTCCCAGGTCCACTCCCGTGGCCAGCGAGAGGCAGCCATGCCGAGGGGCCCGCTCCTGGTAACGGTCTACAGTTGTTCAGAGCCACTGCTCCCAGCCAGGCAGAGCAATGTGCCAAGAAACTCCATAAATCAGAGCGCTAGCCCTGCCAGGGAGCGCCCACTCGCTGCTGGGAGAGGCCTGGGCACAGCGGGCAGAGGGGCATGCGGCAAAACCAGGGGGTGCAGGGAGAGGACAGGGCAATTCGCTTCCAGAGAGGGAGGAGAGTTGTTCCTCCAGGCCCTGGGGACCTTCTCTCCTGCCACCTTTCACAGGCGCTGGCAGAGCTGGCTGCTGGCCCTTGGTCTGGCTCGGCACAGCTGTCCTTCTCTTTTTATCAGCTGGGAGTCAGGATGCAGAGGGAGCTGAGACCTCCCACTGCTCACAGTCGCTGCCTGGCTGCAGCAGCCCCTGCTGAAGGAGCTCACCAAGCCAGGCTCTCCTTTCTGGTGATTATTCCCAGTCCTGTACCACTGTGGGATGACAGTGCTGTCCTTGCAGCCTGATGGCATCCACGGGGCAGCAACCAGGGAGGAATGGCTGCTGGCCGCCATCTGTGCCACCATCCTGCTCGGCGCATCCTTGTCCCCAAGGTTATAAATCCATACAGTACCTGGACTGGGGCCGATGACACTGGTTTGAGTCTCTTGCCCCCCTCCTGCCTCCCCGCAGCACCGGGGCCTGCAGCGATGCTCCATGGATCCTTCTGACGTTTTGCCCCCGGTGCCCCCGGTGCCACCCGGGCCTAGCGCTGTCCCCACCAGGTGCTTGTGAAACGCGTGACATGTGGCACTGCCTCCCCCCACTCCTCCAGCCACGATATTAAACCACTTAATGCACTCAGCGAGTCCTTGAGCTCCGAGACGCCTTGGAGTGCTGTTGGCTTTGTTCAGCGCTTTGACGAGCTCAAGAGCTCGGAGGGGAGAGCGAGCTGCGTCCGGGGAGGGGAACGGCTCCCCCCCCCCCCCCC